AAAAAGACTAAAACTTGATTTGTTTGGCCTGGGGTGTGTGTCTTGGGGAGTGTGGGGGTGGGAAACGCAAGCCCAGCCCCTCCTCTTCCTCCCTCCCCTTCACCACCCTCCCCTCCCCCTCCTTCTCCTCCTCCTGCCCTCTCGGGCTACACCACCACCAACAGTGGCGGCGGCGGCAGCAGCGGCAAAGGCCACAGCAGGGACTTCGTCCTCCGGAGGGACCTTTCCGCCACGGCCCCCGCGGCGGCCATGCACGGGGCCCCGCTCGGAGGGGAGCAGCGGTCCGGCACCGTCTCCCCCCAGCACCTGGCCCCGCCTCCCCACTCCGCCGGCATGTTCATCTCGGCCAGCGGCACCTACGCGGGCCCGGACGGGAGCGGCGGCGGGGGCCCGGCGCTCTTCCCCGCGCTGCACGACGCGCCGGGAGCTCCCGGTGGCCACCCGCACCCGCTCAACGGCCAGATGCGCCTGGGGTTGGCGGCAGCAGCAGCAGCCGCGGCGGCTGAGCTGTACGGCCGCGCCGAGCCGCCCTTCGCGCCGCGCTCCGGGGATGCGCACTACGGGGCGGTGGCGGCCGCTGCAGCGGCCGCCCTGCATGGCTACGGAGCAGTGAACTTAAACCTGAATCTGGCAGCAGCAGCTGCCGCGGCGGCGGCCGGGCCGGGACCCCACCTGCAGCACCACGCGCCGCCCCCGGCGCCGCCGCCGCCGCCGCCGGCGCCCGCGCAGCACCCGCACCAGCACCACCCCCACCTCCCAGGGGCGGCCGGGGCCTTCCTGCGCTATATGCGGCAGCCAATCAAGCAGGAGCTCATCTGCAAGTGGATCGACCCTGAGGAGCTGGCCGGGCCACCGCCGCCGCCGCCGCCGCCGCCGCCACCGCCCCCGGCCGGCGGCGCCAAGCCCTGCTCCAAAACTTTCGGCACTATGCACGAGCTGGTGAATCACGTCACGGTGGAGCACGTGGGCGGCCCCGAGCAAAGCAGCCACATCTGCTTCTGGGAGGACTGTCCACGCGAGGGCAAGCCCTTCAAGGCCAAATACAAGCTCATCAACCACATCCGCGTGCACACGGGCGAGAAGCCTTTCCCCTGCCCCTTCCCGGGCTGCGGCAAGGTCTTCGCGCGCTCTGAGAACCTCAAGATCCATAAGCGCACTCATACAGGTGGGTGTCTGTCCCCGGCCGCGCCGCGCCGCCGCCGCCGCCTCCCGTGTCGCCGCCGCTTCCGCCGCTGCTTCTCTTCCTCCTCCTCCTGCTCGCCTTAATTTTTCCCTCCTTCTGCTGCTTCTCTTCGCATACGTGTAACCCGGACATGTGACTTCTTTTTTTTCTCTCTCCCCCTCTTTTTTTCTATGAATAAGTAATTCGATAGCATACACAGGCCCCGCGCTGGGTTCCCACGCGGTGGAGTCTCCAGCGCTCCCGCAGCCCCTCCGCCGGGACCGGCAACGCGCTCCAACCGCCGCCGCCGCAGCCCCGGAGCAGAAGCAGCAGCAATCGGAGCAGGAAGGCGCCCAGGACGGTCGGCAGCCCCCATCCGTCCGGCCCCGGGAACTTGGGGAGGGCGATGGGAAAAAGGGAGCTGGAGCCGAAGCCGCTCTGAAGGCTTTTTCCTACTCACGCGGTGGCAGGCCCCGTGCGGACGCTACTCTTGCAAAAGCGGGTGTGCGAGGGGCGCGTGGGATTTGCTGTGGTATTGAGACCACCAGGCCCATCTCTGTGTGGCCTCCCCAGGAGGGGAGGGGGACCTTTCCCTTCTGGGTGGGGTGCAAAATACTAAAGGAAGGAGGCCCCCAGACACCTCCCCATACTCACACTCACGCGTTGTTTCACACCCACATATGCTACTTCATGTACAGGCTTCACTTATGCATGTTCCCATGTTCCCTTATGCAACCCCCCGTCCTCACTGCTGGGACACCCATATGCCGAGACACACACACACACACACACCCTATACACTACACTCTCACACTTCCTCATTTACACACCTTCATATACACCTATACACACGCGCGCGTGCCGTCACACAGCGCCATCACGCACTTGATCACACGTGCCCTAGAGGGTGCTGGAGAAGTTGGGTTCTGTCCTTTCAAAGAAGGTTCTAGTTGGAGGAGCTGCAGAGCCTCCCACGGTTTTTGGGGCCTCCCCCGCCATAGAATTTAGGGGAAGACCCGGACGCCATGGGGACCCCTCCCATCCACCCCAAGCCCTGCCTTTGGGGGTGCAACGGCCTCGGGTGAAGGCGGCTGCGTCGTGGGGCGGTGGGATGGCCTCTGTGGGTCGTGTGTTCCCTTTGAACGGACCAAGAGCATTGGGCGGGAGCGCTGATGAGCGCGAGCGCAGTCTGGATTTATAAGGACAGACAATATTACCCCTTGGAGGACACTTAAGTAACTGGAGTTTACATTCAGTAATTACTTGGCAGATTTATCGGCTGTGGCGGCGAGGAGGCTGCCGCAGGGTGTGGGGTCCAACGCCTGGGCAGCGGCGGGGGCCGAGGGCATTCCGGGGATCTGCGGGAGGAGCCGGTGGCCCAAGGCGAGAGCCCGGGGCCTCGCTCCTGTCTACGGACACCTGACAGGCCTCGTGTGAGCCAGAAGATGATGGGCCGGGAGCACGTTTTCCCGGGAGCCCTGTTTGCCTGCCTGGTTCTTTTCTAATCGGATCCGTCAGCTTAATGATTTTTCCAAAAGGAAACTTCCCACAGGGCTCTCGTAAACCGCCCCCCCCTGTCCCCCCCCCGGCCCACTAAACCAGCTGAATACTCCTGTGCGCAGTATTTCCCGACCGAGCAGGGGCCTGGGACCGTGAAGTGGCGCGCTGGGCGCGGGAGGTGAAAACCTCCCCAAAGGGAGTCCCTAAAAGCGGAGTCTGCGGCCTCGGGCCCTTCCACCTTTCTAGGCCTCGGAGGTCCCCGCCCTCCGGCCCCTGCGGGACCGAGAGCCTCCAGCCGCCCTGGACTGCTGCCCCCCAGGAGGGGGCGTGCGCGCGTGCTTGGGAGTGGGGTGAGGTGCAGAGACCTGGGGCGCCTTGGGGACCCAGGGCCATTTTGTTTAATGGTTTCACGCCGTGCGTATGGTTGCATTAACGCCGGGCTGCGGTGGCTACATGGGCCTCTCACTCTCGGGGTTCCTTGGGGAAGGATGCGAGCACCTCTTGTTCATGCTCGAACCCGCGCCGGGGGTTTTTGGCGGTCCCTGGACCCAGTAGCCATTGAACACTGTGGGCAGAGGAACCATCCTGGAATCACTGCCCTGCCACACCGCTCTCCCATTTGGGGGTTATTGGGATCCCTCCGGAACAGAATGATCAAAGGGAATAATCCCCCGGCCACTCCCCAAGGCCTATTTCCTGACCCACGTGCCCTCAATTCCTTTTATAACATTCCTCTGGGCCAGACTGGAGTTCTCTCTGGAGGGGGAACTGGTAGGATCTGAATGTTGCCCACACCTAGCTTCCATTACTCTCTAAAACTCTGTAAGTTGTTAAATTGACGTGACCTCTATGTCAGAATCTGAAATGTAAACACTGGGGTCTCACCCTTTCTAGTTAGGTAGAATTTGTTCACTGTCTCCTTAGTCCGACCCCCTGAATAAAATAGGCTATTCTGTCACCCCCTGCCCTTTTTTTTTTTGCTATTTTTTCTTACACTTCTTTATCCCTAATTTTCTACCTTTCTTTCCACTGCATATCTCCCCTTTACTGGGTCTAATTGCTTCTCTTCATCATGTGCAATGGTGGAGCCAGCAGTGTTCCAGCCGTTTATTCTTCACAGTCCAGGATATGTAGCTTGTACTGAAACATGAGACTTCTAAAAATACAACGTTGCACATTTGCATAGGATGAATAAAACCACTTAACCATCCATATTGAACAAAGACATAATTTTGTTTTTGGAAGAAAGCTATATTAAATCAGTATTATCTCTAAGTTCAAGTAGAATATAGAAATCAAGGCAAATAACCAACGTTTTGATAAAAATCAGTTAACCTTTTTGTTGCAGCTCATCTACACAGAATTTTGAAAGGTTGTGGTTATCATTGTGTTTATGTTGTGTTTCCGCCTCTTTCTACATCAGTGTAGGAAACATATGTGAATAATATCTAATTTTATTTTTAGACACGATTTTCAGGTAGGGTAAGTTCTATTCCAGGCATCTGAATACTTTCAGCTGTGCTAACATACTCTGACATTGAAGTAGTTATCATTGTGAAATTAACAACAACAAAACTACACTGAATTGTTTGTATGAATAAGAAGTTTTACTGCAATAAGTTACACATACTAAACTTAGTTGTTCTTTTTTAAAATAAATTATCCAAAACCAAGGAAAGGTCATACCTTGTGTGCCATTAGAGTAGCTGCTGTAATGTGGAGAAATCCAACTTTATTTTCTAAAACATTTAAATATGAGGAAAATATTAATACAATAATATATGAGATGACTTGTTCAGTTATGGACTCAGGTACATCAAGTTCATAGATACTAAGGTCAAAAGGAAAATTCATACTGTTAACTGCTGTCTTCCTTTTTTGCTCTTTAATATCAAGGTGTAGTATGGCTGAATTTCTAGTTGTCTTATTGAGCATTTTCACTTCCAGGACTAAGGGTCTTGTGTTTAAAAGTATTGTGTTCCTGGGGTGGTTAAAGTAGCTTAAAGGAGCCATGGGCCAAAAGACTCTGGCAAATAGTCCTTTTTTTTTTTAATTATTAAGCAATATAGAAAGCTGTTAGAATAAGTTTATTTATGGCATCAGGTAAATGACAGGTTCTGGCTGAGGCTTGTGTTGTTTATTAATGTTTGTTAAGGCTCTGTTCCGTAGGCTCTTAATTGCTCTGCAAGTTGTGAGGAAAGCTGGTAGAAGGAAGAGACCAATGGCCTATTCTCTGCCCAGCTAGGCTTGTAAAAAATCTAGTGATTGAATTGTATGTTTCACAGGTGTCTTTATTTTTGACGAGAACAGGATTTTGTTTTATTTCCTTTCCTTTCCCATTGGTGGAATGTTGGGGAACACTCTGAAACAAAATGCCATTATAATAACTTGACTGCATCACTCCCAGTTTACTTTTAATTTAGTGTATGTGTTCCATTTTCTTCTCTTTTTCTTTTATCCTTCCCCCAAGCTGTGGTATCAGAAGTATCATTTTATCAACATTTATCTTGATAGAGGAGCTGCTTGTATTTTTGTATGTACAGAGCCCGAGGGGAGTGAGGATACGGGTATTCGGGTCTTAGTTGGGTTTCGGTGTTACATCCTGGACCATGCTATAGGCATTCTCCCCCGACCCCTATAGTACTGCAGAGGGGCTGACATCTAGCCTCTCTCACAGTCCCACCTCCAAGGAGGGCCCCCAGGCCAGTGGTCACCAGGCCCATCCCAGAAGTACTCCTTCCCTGTTGTGTCCTGGAACGCAGGAATAGTAATAGGAGTTAGGCTGGGAGTTGGTGTTCTAGAGATTGGAAAGATGCATCCTCATTTCTGCTCCAAGATTTTTCTCTCAAGTGAGAGGTCTCGAAAAGCAATTGTTAACCTTTCCTATGTTTTGTTGCAGGCGAAAAGCCTTTCAAATGTGAATTTGATGGCTGTGACAGGAAGTTTGCCAACAGCAGTGATCGAAAGAAACATTCCCATGTCCACACCAGTGACAAGCCCTACTATTGCAAGATTCGAGGCTGTGACAAATCCTACACTCACCCGAGCTCTCTGAGGAAGCACATGAAGATTCACTGCAAGTCCCCACCACCTTCTCCAGGAGCCCTTGGTTACTCATCAGTGGGGACACCAGTGGGTGCCCCCTTGTCCCCTGTGCTGGACCCAACCAGGAGTCGCTCTAGCACTCTGTCCCCTCAGGTGACCAACCTCAATGAGTGGTACGTTTGCCAGGCCAGTGGGGCCCCCAGCCACCTCCACACACCTTCCAGCAATGGAACCACTTCCGAGTCTGAAGACGAGGAGATGTATGGGAACTCTGAAGTTGTGCGGACGATACATTAGAATTTATTCATAATAATAATAGTGGGAATCCTTGGACCATATCCTAACCTGAGACAATGCCGAGCCTGAGACAAATCTGTGACTCAGACTTGCCACCGGGTCTAATTAGCCCTATTTATTTAGTATGAAACCCTATGGTGTTTGTACATTTAATTAATTTAATTAAGATATTTGGGCTTTTTAAAAATAGAAAACAAACAACAACAACAAGTTGGACTTATATACTGCAGGGGTCAGGGCTGGGAGCAAATTGTACCAAGAAAAAAATGGAGAGGTTAGTTAATTGAGATATACACTGCGATGCAATAAATATATATATTTTTAAGGGGAGAGAAAGAGCATTAAGTCAAACTCCACACAGCAACAGGCCCTCTGCATTTCCTAGAGTGCCTCGTGAATGCCTTTGACACCATAACACGGGCTTCTTCGGAGCCTCATCACCTCCTCTTTGGGCCCTAATTCTGCAAAAGCCTCTTGATTGTAAACCACACACTTGCTGCATTGCCACCACCAGATCTTGGACTGTACCTGTGTCCAAAAATATTTGTGAAAACCTCTTATGTTCTAATGCTTGTAATTTTTCATTTCCACTCTTTGATTACTGATCTCACCTAAACAGTATTTTTATACAGGATTATTTCTTCAATATCCTGCTTGTATGATTTAAAAAAAAAAAGATGCAGCAACCTTAGTACATCTCCATATATTGTGCTACTGTGATTGTTCAAACAAAAGTGGAGAAAAGAAAAAACTGCTGCAATAGACAACTGTGAAACTGTGATATTTTATAAAATAGAAGACATTCAAGTGCTTTCTTTTTCCTGTTTTATTTTAAATCTGAAATCTCAGATGCTGCCTCTTTACTGTGTCCAAACTTCTTGTGTAATAAAGAGATTATGTTTTAGATCATAAGTTCTTTGGTATGCCAAAATTACCAGGCAGGTCTAAGGAGGTGTGATGTTGGCAACATGCCTATTTTTTTTTTGAAAGCTGTTGTTTTTAAAATAGGCCAACCCCTTTTATACTCTTGTATCAACCTTTTAAAAAGCCTTTATTTTTCGATGCCTGAAAATGCATTTTAATGCATTTTCTTCCACCTGAGCACTGAGCACACTGAACTCTGTCCTATTTGGAAATGACAGTGTGTGATGTATATGATTTACATTAAAAGAGGGGAGGGAATTGCTATACATATTAAAATTTTTAAAAGGTTTATAGTTACCAGCAAACACTGATGAATGTGTGACCTTTGCCAGAGCTGTCAAACTAGGATAAAAAAGGTCAAGGACCTAGGACAATAACTCTTAGTCAATTTATTTTTGGTTGGTACAACACATCGTGTGTAAAATGTAGTCCATCATAAACATCCTACAAATATACTAAAGAGCACTAATTTATCCTCAGAGACCCTGAACACACCCCCGCCCCAGGGTTTGAAGAAATTTGTTTCGTGTGCTGTGAGTGGTTGATGTAGTCTTGTCATTGTTAATAAGTTGTATGTGAACACTATTATTTGTACAGTTGAATTAATTTATTTTCAGACATCTTTTTTTTTCCTGGAAGAGTTCAAAGCACACCAAAGAAATATATTATACATTTTGGTGAAAGGTGGTCGTTTATGATCCATGGTTTATTTAAAAAAAAAAGAAAATGGGAAAATATATTTTTAAGCTTACTTGAATGAACAACGTAATGTGAAAACCAGGACTCTTCCTGCATGTTTTTTTTGCATTGTGTTGATGAGATTATATATAGTTTATAGATATATTACTAGTACAGTGCATGGTGCTGTCACTTTGAAAGCCTTTCAATGTTGTCTTCACATTATTACGGTGAATATGAAACATGCAGACACTCCTTTATAAAGAAAAAGACCATAAAACTTGAATATAAAATCTACATTTGAAAGTTTATTTGATTTTCTTATTCACTTTCAAAGCTCTTTCAAATAGGCAAGATAAGGTATAAACTTTGGGGGGATAATTTATGTATTGTAAACTTATTAGAACAAAGTATTCCTGATTTGTAATGAGTTGTTTTATTTATACAACTTTTTCAATGGTAGTTTGCACTATTCTTTATTATGCTACAGGTTTATTTATTATGAAACAAAGGAATATGTATTTTATGTATTTTGCCACGCATAGGTTAACTGCCACAAATTTATCGGTTCCTGATACACCTAAAATAAAAAACTTAAAACGTGTACCTTCGTTAGCAAGCAAGAATGATTATGGAGTAAAAAATTTAATAAAAGTATTCTTCCTATGTATCGCTTATGTTTTACATAATGACACATTTCTATCATTCTCTAAACAGAACAGGTTGTTGACATAGTGAACATTGGTTCTCTTCCCTTGATCTCTTTATTTCTTAGCCTCTCCCCAAGCAATAAAATAATATTTTTACAGCTTAGTTTAATTTATAATCTAATCTAGAAAATACAATATACTTATGAAGACTGAGCCCTGCAGGTTGCATGTAACACTAGCATAAATCTTACTGCATTCATTTGTTAAAATTAATATCCTTAGTGATCCTAATCAGTAAAAAGCTGAAAAGCAAGATTTAGCTTTTGGTGCCTAGCCTCTTAAGAAAATAAAAAGGAATGAGAAGACGAAGAGACAGGCTTTCAGACAAGCAAAATCAGGAGCCGAGATGGGTACTGAGTTAAACATCCTGAATGAAGTTCAGTAGTGGTCATCAAGTACCTCTTACATCAGGTAATGGGGGAGGGGGAATCCAATGTTATTGTGGTTTATTTGGAAGCTGAGTGGATATAAGTAACTTAGCATTTGGGGACAGGTGTTAAGGAGAAATTAGATTCTTTGATGGCAACAAAATATCCAAGTGTCTTAAACTAATGTAATCGGCTATCTAACAAGGCTAATTGTTTGCCTATTTTTATGTTAGCTGATACAAAACTGATAAAAGACAAATAGTTAAAAACAATTGGTAGCAATGTCAATAAGCAGTTCTCCAAAAGGTTATATAGTGCTTTTTAAAAGTCGGGTTTGTTAAAAGTAGTAAAGGTGAAACAGGTTGCAAAGAGTTGTCTTAAGCCAGATAACAATAACCAGCACACGAAGGAGAAAAAACATAAATGAGAGTCCCAATCAATGGGAAAACTTATAGCTCTCTAATGAAGTTTCCTGTGAAAAGAAGGGTGACACAAAGCCACCAAGACATGAATCATTCATGGGAAATATAAAAGATAAAAGATAGCTGACAATGAGCAGAACCTTGTATAGAGTGTATAAAACAAGTTTCCCCTTCTTATTTTCTGCTTTAAAACGCACAATATCCTACTCCCAGCTTTCTCTGTCCAGTCTATAGAGTTAAAATTGACCACTGCTCGTCCTGAGCCACTTCAAAGTAATTTAGTCCAGAACGGAAGGCTTGGCGCTTGGACAATCTTCATGGTGTGTTAAGATTTCTATGGCAATTGGCAAGCAAGACGTTCCCATCTGACTATGTCTCAAAGAAAGCCACTTATTGACACTAAGTTGGCTATCATCAAAGACTTCATCTTTCCTAGGCGAAACGTGGCCCTCATGGCCCTCGCAAACACTGTTTAAATCATCTACGTTTGTTTTCCAGACTAGGAGAATCTTCAAACACATGACTGCTTGTAGTTTGTACATATTTTCCCTCATGTAGGATAGTGTTTGGTAAAGCTCCTAAAATCTAAAGTACTGAGAAAGAGCTTGGGGGGAGGAATTATATTCTTTTAGGAGTTGGAGATGGCCACACAAGAGGATTAGCATTGGGGGCAGGAAAAGAGGAGGTCCAAACTTGAAACCTAGGCCCAGCTATTGCCGAAGTCATATTTGTATCATATTTGTATTGCTTGCAGTCTTGTCATTTATATCCTGCATTTTGTGGCAGCTTTTTGAGACAGTGGTTCATTCTACCTACCTACCTACCTACCTACCTACCTACCTACCTATCAACCCTTTCTCTGTGAGATGGGACAAGAGATGTTCACCTGAAGTATTACTTTATCCCAGTTTGGTTAGGAGATACAACTTGGTGAAGAGGGAAGGAGAGCCAACCTGGCTTCTCTGGTGATCCCCTTAAGTCAGAGAAAAGGAAAGCTGAACACAAGAGAAACAAAACAATCCTGACACTTATTACTACTTTCGGCCTGTCACATCCCACTGCCCGTCTGCCCATCCACCCGTCGTCTACCAGCATGGACACATGGCCAGGGAAAACCTGCCCTTCCAGGCTGGAGGGATGGTTGAGACCCACGGTGAAACCAACCGCCCTGGGGTTGCCCGCACACTTCCCCTTGAACAAAAACTCACAGAAACTTTGACGCCCACACCCACGCACAAACACTCCAGAGCACACAAATTCACACACAACGCGAGCACCCCATCAGGCAGGGAGAAGTTCAAAGGCATGTGCTTTGAAATTCAAACTACTGCTTTTATGGTACATCCACACAGAGCGTCAGTATTGCTATAGCAATGGGCAGGGCCAGGGGAGTCACTGGCAGAGGGACCACAGCGATTCAAGACACTCTATTAAGTTACCGTTGCAGTGACCTTTACTTTCATGGCAAGTTATTTTAGTCAATTTTCGCCTCACCAGAAATATATATTTTACATATAATATTACACATATCATACTATACGTGTGACATAGTAATATATATGTGTTTCCGTCTACTTTTTGTTACGATTCCTCCATAGAACCTCTTAGCTTGAGAGAAAGGAAAGAGGAAAGAATGAGGAGAGGAGAGAAAGCTGAGTGGGGGTGGGGGTGGGTAATGTTAGAAGAGGGGCAGGAACGCCAGAGCCCCAGTTCCTCTTCCTTCTCTCCCCACCTAAGTACTTTTATTTGCAGAGCGATTGTTCTTTGTTTATTTAATACAAGTACTGTGTGAATGGTGAAAAATAAACACGATGAAAAATAACCAAACAGATGATTCCTCCGAGTGAAAAAGCCCGGACTTAATAAAAGTGCGAAGCAGTCACCGCTGAATGAGAAACCCTTTGAAGTGGAACTTATTATAGGAGGAATACTTTGGGGTTGCCTTAACGACGCCGCTGAATCGAAAGCGCTCGCCTTTGTCAGCGATTTGTTCTCCTTTGCTGGGGTGCCTGGAGAAATTACTTACATGGGCTGCCTTAACATGCAGCCTGCAAATCAGTAACTTTGCAGCTCAGACTTGCAGACGCCACTCGGCAACGGACAAAAAGAAGTCAGGGGGAAACGCACCAACCTTTCACGCCGCGTCTCTGGGGATGGGGGCGCACGGGCGTGTTGGGGGCGGCAGATAAGAAGTTGTATTACAACTGGCCCCCCTCACCCGGGCTCCCTACCCTCAGCCCTCTCTCCCCATCCCAACCCCTGAGCCTGGGCAGGGGCCGGGGCCGCCCGGGCCTGGTCCAGTTGCAGGAGAGGCTCAGGGCTTCTCCCAGGCTCTCCAGCGAGGGGCGCTTTTCTGTGTGCTGGCCGGGCGCCGGACTTTCCCAGCAGTCCCGGCCATATTTAATAAGAGTCGTTTATCACCCAGGCGCTTTGAAGGGTCGCCTCCAGCCCTGTGCCCATTAGAAAGGCGGAGGTGACATTTAAACTCGGTTTTCAAGGATCGCGGGGGGATTTCAATGAAAAGGCAACTCGTTTGTCTTATGAGCCTGGAAACAACCCCCTTCTCTCTCCTTTTGACCACATGGCATAACTCAAAAACAATAGTTCAAAAGTGAAATGGCATCGTGGTCTTCACTCAGAGACAGGCCCCCATCTAGCACCAGAGAAAAGGGGTAGTCCACAAGACAATGTGCTTTTTGTGTCCTACTCTGTCACAAGGATTGTGTTGTTTGCTTTGGAGGCTGCGCCTGTTATACTTTCCTGAAAGTGCTTGTGTTAAACAAGAGTTATAAGTCATCCAAAACAACAAACATTTTGATTTTCTTTGCCTAAAGGGCTTTCCCTGGCTATGGGCACCGTGAAAAAATAATGTCCTTGCTGAGAAAGGAACACCAGTAGTAGCATTAGAAGCGGGCGCATTAAATATTGAATGACACGGGGTAAAAGAGCTTGTCGAGGGGCACTCAGCCTTAAAGTCTTTCTTCAACTTTGTCTTCGGTGGCTGCTGGACTATTTAAGATGGTATTAATTAAGGCAGCTTCGGATGCCGCGGAGCCCGCCGGCCCCTCGGCTTCTCAGTCAATGGGCCTGTGTCCCCACGCTCTGCTCCTGCGTTGTCTGAGCCGAGTGCAAATGTCACTTCTCATTTGGAGGCTGAAGAGATGGGCCCATCCTACATTAATGGCAGCAGGGATGCAGTCATAGCAGGCGTTAAAGGAATAGAGAGGCTAGGGTGAGGGGAGGGGAGGCGGGAACAAAATGGGAACATCTGCCTTGGGCAGGGAGGGGAGTGCGCCCAGCGTGCATTGCTTTTGGCACACTTTGGAGAGTTGTTTAGCACACAAGGGCCACGCGGGACTCGGTGGGTTGGAACATCCACTCTCTCGTCTGCTCTTGTGTGGAGAAAATTAATACCCCAGCCCTGCAAAGATACACTGGACAGTTGGGCAGGTTCCACAAGGACTAGTTCCTATAAAGACAAAGGCTTGGTGCACACAGCCTTATTTACTGGTTTCCTCCTCCTCCCTGAGGTGCCCTTCACAGATCACAAAGAAAGAAAGAAAGCCCAGAGGGCCTCCGCCAAGGACCTGAGATCCAATTTTACAGATGGTGAAACTGAGACTTCAAGCAAGGCTCAGAGAAGATTTTTGTCAATATTCCCCTCGAGGAGTTGGAAGCTGAGACCCTCACTGAGCCCAAAGACCCAGACAAGAGTGGAGTTCCATTTCAGGGCACCAACAACCACACCAAAACATACCCCGTGCTCCAATTCCAAGCGTTTCATTTGATTCAGAATCAAATGAAAGTTAGTTTCAGCTGCTGGAAATTTCTAACATTGAAAAGAGAGAGATGAAGCTTACTGCCAACCAACTGTGGCATAAATGAAATGCATGTCTTAAGAAACTCTTAACTATTGGTTCTTGATGAAAAGAGACAAGACTTGGCCAGGTGGAGAGGTGCAGGGTACACCCTGGCAGGTTGATTTTTTTTTAAATTGGGGAACACTGTGTTTTTCCAGGACCCATCAGCTCCAAGTCAAGTAGTCGTTTCAATCTAGTTGTGGAGGGTGTGGGGACCCAACCCACAACTTTAGTGTTATGAGCACTGCAGTTGTAACCAACTGAGCTAACCGGATGCCCCAGCAGGTTGAATTTTGCATCCAGAACCCCCAAGAGAGCTTCTGTCTCCTGCTGTGGAGTTCCAGATGGAGATAGGCCTTATCTTTTATCACAAGATCCCTTGGAGGTCAGGGGAGATGCAGACAAATGCTCTTTCCTGTGAGTGTGATTTAGGTCCTTGCTGCTGGCTACAGGGATTTAGCACCTTTAAGTCTAGATCCATTTACAATGTCTGATTCTCTGTCTCAAGATGTGTCCCCTCAGGGGTCCCTCCAGCCTCCTGGGCTGGGAGCACTCATGTATTCCACCAAGAGCCATCCTGCAGGAGATGCAATTCCCAACTTCCTGCCCGGCTGGGTTTTGTGTACTAGGGGGAGGGGGGCGTAACTGGGATCTTTCAGTCCACAGACTTGGGACTGCGGCCTACACCCTTTGCCAGACTGGGAGCTGGAGGCTCACTCTAGGGCGTGGAACTGCCTGGCTGGGTCAGGAAGCTGGCAGAGGTGCGCGTTGGGGTGGAGGAGAGAGGTGTGCCAATCCGGACCCCCGCCTCCCCCGCCACCACTCCATCCCCAGATGGTCTGTGAAACCTAAGACTAGGGTTCCCAGGCCCAGCCGCCGACCAGTGTGATCTTTTTTGCACCTTTTTGTTCAGTCCCCGTCTCCCTGCCTCTACTTTTTGGCACGAACAGGCCCCAGGCTAGGGTAGGGGATGCAAAAACCTGGGCTTTTGGTTTGGAATGCACGGGCGTGCGTTCGTGTGTGTGTGTGTGCGCGTGCGCGTGCGTGTGCGTGTGTGTGTGCGTGTGTGTGTACACACACACACGCACACGCACAACAAAATCCCCCGCCGCAGCCGGTGCACTGGGCACACACTCGGGCTCCAGGCACCTTGCCAAGAGCGCGCGAGCACCCTGCGTGGCACACTGGCTGAAGTTCCTACACGAAGCTGCTGGGTGGGGTAAGGAGGGAGGGGTGGGCGGCGGTGGACGCCGCCGACTGCTGGCGGTGCGCACAAGTTCAGTGCTGAACTTCCCGCTCTTAACGAGACCTGGGATCCCTTTGGAGAGGCCCTCGGGAGCTGGCGGCGGGGCTGGGAGTGGCGTGGGTAAGCTGGCCGGCGCGGGGCGCGGGCGGCGGGGCGCGAGGGCGCGACCTGAGGAGGGCGTGAGGGTGCCCGCGGCCGGCCGGGCCCTCGGAGAAGTCAGTGCAAACAGCTGTGCCTTCACCTATTAGCCCCGATGTCTTTCCGAGGAGCCTGGTGGAGTTAAACAGCCCACAATGGGCGCTCTGGGGCGCCTCCAGCCTGACCTCCACCCGGGTTTAATAGTTTCATAGGAACTTCATTAAATCAATTACTTAGTGAGCACATCATCATTTATTTGTAATTAGCAGCGAGGAGCGCGTTCTCTACCCCAGCCCGCGGCCCGGGTCCCAGCGGGGTTGGCGGAGTTGCGCAAGCACTTTTGTTTGCTGGAGTGTTGACTCCCGGCATTATTCGGCCCGGGTAATCTTTACATCTTAATCTAGCATTCAAGGGGTGAAGGGAAAACAAACAGGGCGCGGGCCGGAGGCCAGCCCTGCGGTCCCAGCCGCCCGCGAAAAACACTGCCCTCGCGCCGCGCGCAGGGCGCGTCTCCGTGGCCCCCTTTCTTCCCCGGCGGAGAGAGAGGGAAGCCACAGGGGCAGAGGATATGGAGGGAAACGAGTCAGGCCAGGGGGACTTAGAAGGAAAGTGGCGAAGGAAGAAGAGATGAAGGAGCGAAAAGTGGAAACCAGGAGCAGGAAACCACGTCCCGCAAAGCGAGCACAAAAGGCAAACGTCCAAGCTCGTGCGTGTGTGCGGGCGGCGTTGGAGGGGGAATGCGTGTGTGCGCACGTGTGTGTGCGCGCAGGGTGTGCGTGAAGTCACATCCATTTCAGCTGCCGGGGAGCTGGGCGGAGAGAGGGGAGCGGGAGCAGGAGTACTGGTCTGGCGCGCGTGGAGCTGGCAAGCTGGGTATCTGGGCTGCAAAAGTGCTTTAATTTGGGGACTGCAGCCCCACGGCAACCCACAGATTACGAGCTAGCAGTTAGTGAGGAGGAGGAGTTGCTGAAACCCGGGCCAGAACCTGCGCGTGCAGGGAGACACGAATAATGGCTCCGTGAGGAGTCGTGATTCCTTTCGAGGGTAATCATCTTTCCCCACGCGCTGCAGTGCTGGCCAAATACCGTGCGGATCGTAGGAATCTCAGCACCCCCAGCCAGAAACGTAGGCGGCACGCCCCCGCATCCTTGCCTGGGACCCGATTTCCACTGGAGAAGTCCCTCCAGCCCAGGAAACGCCCAACTTCTGCGGGCGATCCCAGTTCAGGAAATGCAGGGTGCCCCGGGAGGGCCGAGGGAGGCGATGGATCACTAATGATGATCAGGCTCTGGTACTCTCAGGAGCGGACGAGTGTGAACAACTGTGAGGTTAGGAAAAGGCCCATGGGACACACACCCTAGGAGTGAGCTTCCAGAAGAAACAGTGGTCTCAGGGGGTCCATGAGGTTAGTCTCTTAGGTGGACGGGTGTATTTTTGAGGAGATGGTCCTGAATTTCTCCACTGGTTTTTGTGGTCAAGCCTGTTTGATTCAGGATAATATTTGGAGGCAGTGAATGTGTGAAGGTGGTTTGTTGCCTTGTCGGTGATTCCATAAAGTTGAATCAGGGTTTGGAGTGTTTGTACTCTAGTGGGCCCAAAGAAAGCTTGGTGCATCAGTGGGTGGTTGCATGGTGACAGGGTCTGTCCTTGGTGGGAGTAGGAAGAAGAGGGTGGAGGTGTGGCCCAAAGGCCTCTGGATTCAGCTGATTGTGGATGTGCTCCTGGGAGTGGAAGTTTAGCTTTGCCAGGAACCCCCACCTGGGTTCTCTGGAGGCCTTCTGTCTGGTGAGCCAATACCCATGACAATGCATTGGGCTCCCAGGAGGGGGTCTTAAATCTCCAGCATCCTCAGTCCCTCATTCTTCTTGTTTCCCTTTTCCTCCGGTCTCACCATCCTGCACTCATCATTCCTTTCCTTTTTCTATCCTCGTTTTTGCAAAGTTGACTCACAAGTTCACTTGACCCTTTACCCCAGAGTCTTACACATCCTTGTGCCTGCTGGACACAAGGATGAGAAAGAGGCAGGAGGCAGCTCAGGGCCTGTTTCCAAATAGGCCCCCTTGAATTGCAGCGATCCCACTGAGATCCCCAGCTATTGCCTATCCACCCTGGATGGTCTGAGAGCTTGGGTCAGCCTGAAAAACAGGAAATGGATCCAGAGAAGGCCCATCAACCAGCAAGTCAGCAATCAGGTAGAAGCACCTTTTAAAATATAAAAGCACTTTGCAAGTTTGCATACCCCCTCCCCCGTGAGTCCATGCTGGAATAGTTAAAATGGTCAGGCATCCAGAAAAATTACAAGGAGCAAAATCAAGTGCATATACATAAAGCAAAATATAATTTTCTTGAATATATCTCCAAATAATGTAAACCAGAACACTCCTTAGAGTCTGTTGCACACGTTCTGCTCTGGTATAATGAATACCTAGGCATATTAAATGTATATTTGATCAGACAAGTCTACACACACACACACACACACACACACACACACACACACACACTGTTATAGCATATTTAAATCCAACCTGCAAATTATCAGGGCCTACACATCCTGGACCTAACCAAATTTAGGACAGCCTTGAAGGAAGCAAAACTGAGAGAGATTACATTTAAAATGAGTTTTAAATGTAATTCACCCCTGACTTTTCCCTCCTCTTCTCCCTCCCTCCCACCTCCAATACCACTTAATAGAACAGCATCATTTGGAGAAAAGAAGGCAAATCAGGCAAGCATTTTATGAGCTGGCAGGGAATTTGGTGAAGCAGTTGATTTTGAAAATCTGGCTACTGGCTGCAAAGTTTTCTTAGTGATATTCAGATTATGCATCTCACCCCCTGCTCCAAGTCCAAGTGTTTATCCCATTAACTGGCTCACATCTCAGACTCTGTTCTGAATCTGATTTACTGGGCTGTGTACATCGCTGGCACCCTACCTGAGGCCACCCCTCCATAGTGAGAGCCCCGTCCTCTGCTCCCCACCTCTTTCCAATGGGGCTTCCCTTCCTTACTAGCCCGCTCCTCCTATTTGTCTGGGGTCCATGCCATTGGGCCTGTCAGCCTGAAACTAATAGGCATCATGCTCACATTCTGTCATCTCTACATAGGGTTCTGAACAGGCTTCTCCATCACCAGCTGCAGGTTTCATCTTTCTGACCTGGCAGGGAGAAGAAGGCCTGGCACTGACATACAATCGCTTCAAAGCTAGGCCAGAGCCTGTGTGAGGAAACCCAGGAGCGCTTGGCAGCCTAGGTTTGGGTAACGATGTGTAAGGGAAATTTAAGGGAGGGCCCAGCAGAGCCTTGGAGCCTTGGACTATGCCGCTGTTTGTCTCCCATTAGGACACAGGACAAAGGTTTGACTTTTCTGGCCAGTTCTTAAATAAGCTGACCCCAAAGAGCAAGCATTAGAAAAACCTGTGGCCTAGGCCTAGTGTCTGTTGTGTTACTGAGAGAAACTTCTGGGTAGTCACCCACCTCAGCTTGGGCCACCCTTTCTGCCTTCAGACCCAACAGCTTTGGTAGTTCCGGGGCAAAATCATGAAGTGATTCTAGGCAAGTGCTTTTCAAGAAGAACCCCAAAAGACAGAAAAGGCAAGTTCAGGAAAAACACTGCCATCTAACCAGTGCCACCCCTACCCACCCAGTCCCCCTGTTATTTCTGAAGGTGACTCTCTAGAACCTTTCTATCCACCCCATAAATCAAAGGGCTGGAGTAGTCCAGAGACAGAAATGAGCCTTGAAAGAACTTTGGCCACAGGCAAGGGGATTAGAATGTTCATTTTCTGAGACTCCTCAAATCGGAATGATGTCTGTTAGGAAGGCAGCAGAGAAATTACATCATGAAAAGTATCACTTTTGGTTCCTTAAGTTCTTTTCTGAGGTTAGAACGCTTTTTGTTTGTTTGTTTTTAATTGGGGAGCAGTGTGTTTTTCCAGGACCCATCAGCTCCAAGTTAAGTAGTTGTTTCAATCTAGTTGTGGAGGGTGCAGCTCCGTGGCCCATGTGGAGCTCGAACTGGCAGCCTTGGTGTTATGAGCACTGCGCTCTAACCAACTGAGCCAACCGGCCACCCCCTAGAACAGCGTTTTAATGGGAAGGTTTCCCTGGACAAAATGGGTGTCTGGGAAATTGTAGACGTAAAACTTCTTATTTCCTTAAGGGCAAGGGAAGCCCTGTGTGGGTCCCGGGGGAGCCAGGGGGAGCCAGGGGCAGCCTCCCTTGGAGCTCGCTGCTCTGAGGCTCTGGGGACAGAACTGTGGGCCTGTGCAGGGAACTCAGATAGCAGAGGATGTGGGAAGTTGTAGAGAAGACTAATTTCCATTACTCACCTACTTTTCTGCCTCATTAAAAAAACCTGGTAAAATATATATAACAAAACTTACCATTTGAACCATTTTTAAGTATACAACTTTGTGGCATTAAGTACACTCACATTGCTGTGCAACCACCACCACCATTCATCTCCAGAACTTTCTCATCTTCCCAAACTAAAACTCTGTATCCATTAAACACTGATTCCCAATTCCCCCTCCCTGTGGCCACTGACCTTTATTCTACTTTGTGTGCCTATGAATTTGACTACACTAGGTCCCTCATATAAGTGTAATTGTATTGTATTTGTCCTTCTGTGTCTGGCTTATTTCACTGAGCATAATGTCCGCCAGGTTCATCCATGCTGTAGTATGCATTAGAACTCCATCCTTTTTATGGCTGCATAATATTCCAATGCATGGATATCTATCTCCCTATCATCTATATAAAGATATAGAGATATCACTATATAGGATTTTGTTTATCCGTTCATCTGCCAATGGACATTTGGGTTTCCACCTTTTAGCTATTGTGAATAGAGCTACTAGGAACATGGGTGTGCTCACATGCTTTTATATGCACATATGTACCTATATACTTTTTTATGAACTGATGTAAAACACTTCAAACTAAAGGGGAGCTCCTGCCAGGAATTTAAAATATCAGATAT